TATGGTCTGTCCCGCGGCCCAGTATATGGCCGCATGCCGGCAGTAACGCTCGGCGAGTCTCGCTGACAGAACACATACTCATACTCATACTATTATAGTCATACAGTCATGTAGATCTACTCTACTTCTGACATGTCACAAGACTGTAGGCACGGAGATGACCAATCGCATTGCACCTAGCAGGGCCTAGATGAGGCGATCAAAGCATGCTACAAGAAGTAGAACTCCATATTTAGTGGAGCGGGCTTTGATTTTCCCATCAAAGCCCGCCCAGGCGGGCTTTGATTTTACGATCAAAGCCCGCTCCACTAGGGCTTTGATTCACTGATCAAGCTCGCTTTTTTTTTACTCGACTCGGGCTCGAGAAGGCTGAGAGTCGTGCTTTCAAGCGCGATAGGAAGATCGAAGTGCGTGTTCTTGTCAGAAATCCAATCAAAACAGTCGTGTTCATGTTCTATCAGCCAATCACAGCCCTTCGCGAAGTATTTACAAGTCCGATATGAGTTTCAAGCGTGGGTGCATGTCAGAAATGCAATCAAAACACTTGTACTCGTGCTCGATCAGCCTGCATCACAGCCCTTCGCGCTTCGCGCGGCGGGCTGTGATTAGGCGATCTCACACTCGTACTCTTGCTTGATTCCATACATCATGCCTGTAGCCAGGTAGCTAGATCTACCTAGTAGATCTACCTGACTGATAAAACAGACCTGCGGTAGCCCTCGCAAGTCCCAGATGGCCTGATACTAGTGATAGATAATAATTAGGCCAGTAGACTCTACTGAGTTTGTACATGACATCGACAGTGAGTGCTGTCAGAATGCTATGATGAACAGTTAGTATTGCGAAATCGGGAATGGCAGCTCACCCTTGACTGGCTTCAGTTTTAGACACTAGTTAGACCAGTAGTTACCAGTTGGTGTACTCTTGCGAAATAGCCAAGTAGTATTCAAGAAGAATAGAACAGAATGGAAATGGAAGGAGCGTTCTGGCAGGTGTAGAAATTATTTGAAGTAGGGGTACTATAAGTAGAGGAGCGATGGCGAACCTTGCCCCATTATTGTTTGATAATGATACGGGCTTCGAGCTGATTGTTCAGTGTTCGATGGTGTTCAGCCGAACCCGTACCCCCTGTCACTTCTGCCACCAATGCCGGACAGTTGTCGTGCCAAAGTCACGTTCGCTTCTGGCCCTCTGCGTGGCGGATGTAGGCGTTGTGTTGCATGCAAACTTTGAACTCTGAAGTGGCATCATGGCAACTCAAAGGCGGAGACTCTCATCCGGCGGTGTAGCTTCCAGGCTCGGTCTGCTGCTGCTGCTCTTGACTGCCGTTAACTACCGGGCAGTGGCCGCTCCACATCGCCATCTGAGTGTTGCTGCCGCTGATGAGCTGGCGCACGGAGTACCCCTACAAGGTGGAGAGAGTAGATCTACCACGAGTCAGCGCAGTACTGCTCCAGCCAGTCAAGGCTACGACTACTCTCTGCAGGACGATTATGCTGGAGCAACCGAAGATGTACGTGACGCTGGTTTGGCCTGCAATGCATCCCTGCTGGATCGTGTTCAACACGCCAACGCCTTGAAGAAGCTGGCCGAGGATGACGATAACACAGGTATCGTTATAGAGTTTGATTTGCACGAGCCTGCCAGTCCATGTAATGGCGCATACAGTGCCGTGGATGGCGGATATGGTGAGTGCACGGACTTCAACCGTATTGACGTTACCCAGTGCGATGCCATGTTGGCAAGCAACTACACACCAAGTGGCTCTGCCGAATTACGGGGCAACTCCACGAAAGCAGCCAGGTACTTTCATCCGTTGCAGCAGATCTGGTCGCGGCGCAAGGAGCCATGCCCCATCCTGAAATTGCCGCCGGACAGGATCGCCCTCTCGTGGAGCCTGCTGTCAGACGCACGTCTCAGCGTTCGCCATTTCCACGCGCCCCTCGCCGTGTCGTCAGTGGAGTGCTGGAAAAGTCTCACGCAAGCCGAACAGTCTGACATCACTCTCACCCTCAGCCATTCAGCCGACATCGGTTTAGCAGCACCGGGCGTGCAGAATGCCACCGCGCAACTCTGTCAGCTGCGCTATTCCAGCAAGAAGGACTTTGCGGTCATCAACAGCAACACACAGGCCAACACCAGCAACGAGGGCTTTGCCTTCTCCTGTTGCTATGCCGAAAAAGCCGGCGGTGAGGTCACATGTGACACGTCCATGTCGTTTTCACGCTGGTACGATGCCAACAACATAGCCATCTTCTGGGGATTGTTTGCGGTAATGTTCTTAGCGCCGCTGCCTTTCCTCTCCAGTCTCTCTCCCTCCAAACCCAAAGAAGACGCAAAGAAGAACAAGACGCCAGCCGGCTCAGTAGCAGAAGAGGATGAGGAGACAGACCCGGAAGAGCAGCCAGAGGATCCTGAGCATCCACTAAGGGTCATATCATCACCCCGTTCCAACCACCGGATCAACCAACCTGAGGGCGACGGTGCCGATGACAATGATGACGACGACGATGATAGCACATCGGGAAAGGCTGCTCGTGGCTTGAGGCCAGCTCTTATGGTGAGGCAGTTCACGTCATGGCAGCTACTAGCATCCACTGTCAGTGGCAACTTGGACAATTACTTTGTGCACAATACTGCTGCCCGGCCAATTACAGACCGTCCAAAGAAGGGCGAAGAGAGAGAGAAACCTGGCTGTTATCCCCTGTTGTCGTTCCTGAGTAAATACCAAGTGCTGAGACGGCTTTACTGGCTGGCTCTACTGTGGCTTCCCCTGCTGCTGATTTCGCTCAGGGCAATTGCCTATCGTGTGTCCAGCACCAACGATCTCCTGACCTGTCTGGTGAAGGTCGACGGACCAACGCCATGGTTCCTCTTCCTGTTTGCCTCTGACTATGGGCTTCTAGTCACCTACCTGGCTGTATGCGCATTCTGTCTGCTAGCTAATCCACGACAGCTTACCAAGGATTTGAAGAAAGTACCGGACACAACTGGAGACGCCGAGTACCCTAAACTATTTCCTGTCTACCCCAGTGGATATGACTTTCCTTTGAGCTTTGATTCACTGGACAACACTGACGGCGACGATAACCCTACGAAAGAGCAAGTGCAGGGCATTCTCAAGCACATTATCAGCGTTTTCAAGCGCTTCTCTCTCCTGCGCCGTGTCTATCAGGGGCGAGTTCGAGAGAAGCCATTGTCTAACTCGTATCCGTGGCTTGCAGTGGCCACCCCACTGGCCATCGTTGACCTCGTCACTCTCTCTCTCATCTTCACGCTGGTGTTCGTCTACAACACGCCTCTCGGCTACGTGTTGATTCGCTGGAGCATCCTGTCCGGCTACAGCATGACGGTGCTGCGCCGTGATCACAAGGCCTGGGTGTACGTGCGCACTGCTGTGTCCGTGGCCTGGTTCATCTCGCTGACGGTGCACATTCTCCTCATGCTGCTCGTGGGCACTTGGGCCGTCGCCACACTGAAGTACATCATTGTCGGTGTGTTCTTCAACATCCACACATACATCGACTACGTCATTCCCACCGTCTCAATCCTCCTGTACATGGGCCATTTATGGTATCGCACGCTTAACGACTATAATGAAATCCAGACGTCTGTTGTGTCGCGATTTAGCAAAGCCATCAACGAAGAGCAACTGGTGGAGAAGATTGCTTCCACTGTGGTGAAAGACGTCGAGCCTAAGAAACTGCTGACGATGAATGCAGCACGTCTGAAGATTCCCACCGAAGTGTTTGACAAGTTTGTCGCCGAGCACTATCCGGTGAGATTTGCAGTTCTCAAGGTGTTCGCCTGGTTCCTGGCTGCCTGTCTGTACATAGCAGCACTGAATGCCACCGTGCTGCTGAATGAAGAACTTGAGAAGTTTGGCGACATCAGCAAAACCCTCGCCTTGCTGATAGGCTCGCTTCTGCCAAAGCTCGCCGAGAAGCTGTTCAGCACGAGTGAACTGCAAAACCAGATTGTGCGGGACACGGAAATCGATGGTATCCTGCACGAGAAACTGGCCAAGGTCACATGATAACATGCAGATTGTGTTCCACTCAACGCCGATCATCATCCGCATAAGGCACTGTACACTGATCAAGGACTGGCATCATACGCACTTATCCCCGGCATGTTTGCACTTTAGGTGACTATGAGCATGCTACACTATTATCTTGACAGAATCATTCAAGCACTTTGTCTTTCCTTTGAAACCATGATGTACCTGAATCCCTACTAAGGCTATCTGATCTATAAAATGTGCACACATTGTATGTTCTATGTTGAGAACCATCTTGCCAAGCCGCAACACCCAGATACCAACTCAGCATCGAAGTGCATAGCTGAACTGTTAGCTTTAGAGTGTATACTTACATTAGTAATTGTTTTTCTAGTGTCTCAAAGTTCATGAACATGTAGATACCTTGTCAAGAGCGTATAATACTAGTATAACTACAACTCCAGAGTAGGGTCTGTTTTCTGGAAATCTTTCCCATGCAAGTTCAGGTACTGCAGTAGCTCCAAGTCAAATTTGCAACCAGTTTCGGTTTTCCTATGCAATGACAAATGTACAATATCCACAGCCTGATTCCACCTCACATACTAATTGCTTTAAATTTTTTTTTATTGTCGCTGCAATAGTACCATGACTTTTCTACACATCAAGAGTTATGGTAGCATGATGTGCAATTGAACCGTTGCACATAAATTTGATATTAGAAATGTAACTGCTGAGTCTTCTGGAGGTGCAAACTCTGATGCCGTGGCACAACGAGTGAGCGATGGTTGATTACACAAACAGTCTCTGAGGATTGGCTTGTTGAGGTAACGATGAGGGCGATGTGTTTGGAAAGTGCTGCACATAACCATAACCATACATCATCAATGTCACATGACCTTCGATCATCACTGTCACTTTCATGAGTCCACTGGCATCACATAAAACTTGAGTAGCCCAGTGATTTGTCCAACCCTTGTTGACAGCACCAGATAGCAACATGTTCATCGACTAGAAGACAGTCACTTTGTGTTTCCCAGACCCACGCTACTCCAGTTACATGTGACAAAGGGATAATACTAATCATGACTAGTAATATGAGAGATCCTATACATGGCGTCTAGGCACCATCAGTGCATCCACCTATAGCAGAGAAAACCAATCAAGGATTTAATTGAGCACAATCAAGTCAACTATCACTCGTGCCATCAAGACTGAATAAATCAAGACATGTTCTAAAAATGGGGAACGGTCACTATGATTCGTCTCAAAAATAATTATTTAGGGACCTCAAGATGAAGATAAATGCCAGCGTGCACCGTGCAAATATCGGTGAGCTGCGCTTAGACAATACTGGTAATCTACGTAGAGGATGCCATACTATATAAGTACTATCAAGTATCAACATGATCTCAAGAACTGAGATCTTAAAACAAATAATGCACTAGTTTGTCACAGAGACTGGAAAGTAGTTCTATGTCCACTGGATCTATGTCAATCAGCTCGTCAAACTGAGGATTCAGAGAAACGTGGAGGCACAGCACTCCACTGGATTTTGCCAGCATTGTGCAGATAGTGTATCAGCCGCTCTAGCTGTGGACATGTGGCGTCCTGCGTGAAGTCCTTCGGCAGACGATACACTGTTTTCATGCGCATGCTGACAGGTATTGGCGGTGAGACTGAGCTCACGGATCCTATGACTACTGGGATGATGCGGTGAGACCTTCCGCTGAACTCGAGGGCTTGTATTCGGGTCACCTCGGCCCACGTCAGCTTAAAGCTGTCGTCCACGTCGGCATTCAGCTGAGCTTGGAACATTGCTTGTGTCATGTCCAAACTCATCGGGTACGTTTCATCCAGTAGCACAATAGCATAGTCCGTGTTCTGCATCCACTCGTCCATCCAGGCCTCGCGGTTATCCGCCATCTTGACCGCATGCCACGGGTCGCCGTCAAACACGACGTGCACTTCAAACCGCCTGAGCGCTGCAGCCAGCTGGTGCGCTCTCTGCCGACTGGCATTGGTGAAGCGTGAGTAAGTCAAGTACACGCTACATCCTGTACGTCTCAGCTCTCTATGCACGTGCATCTTGGAGCTAGTCTTGATATGGAACTGTAGGAAAGAAAGAAACAAAGTCATGAACTAACATCAGTGAATATTCCAGCAAAAGAACCGAAATAGCAGAGAGAGAGAGAGAGAGAGAGAGAGAGAGAGAGAGAGAGAGAGAGAGAGAGAGAGAGAGAGAGAGAGAGAGAGAGAGAGAGAGAGAGAGAGAGAGAGAGGGAGAGAAAGAAAGAGAGAGAGAGAGCACTGAAGAGAGAGAGAGCAAGAGAGAGAGAGACAGAGCAAGAGAGAGAGAGAGAGAGAGAGAGAGAGAGAGAGAGAGAGAGAGAGAGAGAGAGAGAGAGGGGGGGGGGGGGAGGAGGAGAGGGAGAGACCATATAAGCTGGTCCATTATGCAATATAGATGGTAGAGCACACAGCGTCTCTGTCTAGATAAACAGAGCTACAACGAAAGCAGGGATCATTGACGCATTGAGCTTTCCAAATTATGACAACTTCTTAAAAACTTGTTTACTAGCTGGGTAAATCTTTTCAAGTTCGTTTAACCTTACCAGGCTTTGAAATTCCAAGATTGAATAGTTTCTTCACTGGGTCATCCTCTTCCTAGGAAAGTCTTTTGTTAAAAACATTATGTTCATCTATGCCTTGTTTCTGCTCAAGATTCCTGTGCCGATAATAATCACACGGTTTTCAAAAATTAATACAGTCAACATCATGAATAACGACCTCGGGTGCAACAACAACAACTCGCAGATTTCGACACAATCTTTGGACCTAGTGACCATTAGACTGGATACTTTCAACCTCATCAAAACAACTCGCGAATAACGACATTTCTCTCATGCACGACCGAGGGTCGTTATTGGGTAGGTTGACTGCACGCGTGTAGGTAGTGCTGTTAGCAGCCAGGATTCACATCTGTAGAACACTGCCAGACTTACCTTATCTTTCTGGTATCGGCTTGCGAACGTGCAGGGACTTTTGCAGTCTGAAGAGAGAAAATCAGATGAACGAGCAGATCGCGCCGAGTGAATCTAATTCAGATAAAGAAGTCTCTCCTACAAGTCGGCTACACTGTGACGGTGTACAGATCTGACTATCTATACCGGAACATGTTAAGGAGGATGGCGGATTCCATTCAAAAGAGACCAAATGGAAACAGGCTCTATTGACGAGTCACGACCCACCCGTGACATACACTGTTGGAAGTCCACTCAAAACTCAGTGTGCCTCGCTGGGAAAATTGAGTTCATCATACGGTACAGGTGCAGATGCATGGCGCTTCAGGAGCGGGGCAATGCCGTAGCAATACTGTGGCAATGCTGTAGTCATGCTGTGACAGTGCTGTGGCAATGCTGCTCTGCACATTCCATGCTGAACACAGCATGTACCGTAAATTGAACCGTAAATTACAGTAAATGTACTCTACGGTACACGTAAGAGTAGACACGTAACTAACCTGAGTGACATGCCGTAGCAATACTGTGGCAATGCTGTAGTCATGCTGTGACAGTGCTGTGGCAATGCTGCTCTGCACATTCCATGCTGAACACAGCATGTACCGTAAATTACCGTTGATCTGCCCCCGCCCCCCCCCCCCCCACGCCGTGTCGCTCCCCAGGTGGTTTTTCGGTAGGGGGGGGGGGGGATTTGATCAAGTCATTAAAGTGCAGTACGATGTACAACAAAGCAGAAGATCAGACTTGGCATGCTGTTTTGTGCACATTTTCATCCTGCACTCGCACGTATTGTATACAGCAGGACATGCGTCGGTTCAACATCCTATTTCGTTGTATACGCCGACGTCACTTCACAGGCAGAAATTCGATAGGGGCCGGGAATTTGAGCGGGGGCGGATCAACGGTACTTTACGGTACACGTAAGAGTAGACAGAGTAGACATGTAACTAACCTGAGTGACATGCCCTAGCCATGACGACAATAGCCATGAGAATGAGGAGTATTACAGCCAAGCCGCCCATTGCAACATCTGGAACAAACAACCAAACATTGACAGCATTGTAGTGCCTACGCAACACCAGGGAGATCTGTGCTGTTTGCAGAGTGCCTATGCCCAATCGTGTAGCCACGGACGTCCTGTGCTGTTTCTCAAACATTGTTTGAGTGCCACCAATCTCTGAATTCTTGGGAAAGGGTTTGCTCCCCACACTGGAGCTCGCGTTTTTCCGCCGACTTGAACCCCTTTCCTAGCAAATCAATGCTGACATCGCAGCCACTAATTCGTTCTTTGAATTCTCATACATGCAATCAGAACTACAGTAAAGCCTGGTGTAGGCGACCTCTAGTTTTAGCGACCAACTGCTTTTAACCGTGTTTCCATGCACGGACATTTCTACACAGAAACTGCACTGGATACAGCGACCACCTGCCTTGCGCGACCAGCGACCGACTTTTTGTGTACCAAGTGCCATATTGGACCTGAACACATTGACCAAAACTGACCAAAAGTGCCATCTTGCCTGAGGGTTTGACTGCAACAGGGTTGAAGTGCGCTCTGAAGCACGGCATGCAGTCAACAGAAGTGACAAGTGACAGCGCAGGATGCGCTGCATGCACTCCAGTGAGGTGTTCTTTGCCTGCACGACAGTATTCTATGCTCCACGCCTGTCAATATGAGTACATGGAAGTAGAATCATGCATATGTATGTACTTCACAATCCCATAAGCAACGAATGTATGGGACCTGGTTCTGAAGAGCACCTGGCTTTAACGACCGCTTTTGCTTGCACCGTATGGTGGTCGCTTAAACCAGGTTTTAGTGTATTGTGGCAATGTAGAACCCGGCACCACAAGCACTTCGACTCCAGTGCTACGGGCAACCAGCCACTTCTGCATGATATACTCTACTCAAGTTAGTGAGCAGCTCAAACTTCTGCTTCCCAGTCCTGAGTCCTGAGATTCTAATAATTACACCAGTTATCCATAGATCGGCGTGCTTTGAGTAATTTTGAGGTGTCAGAGTGTTCATAAACCGCACACACTCTCACACACACACGCACACACACGTACACACACACGCACACACACACCCACCCACTCTCACACACACACGCACACTCACACACTCACGCACACACACACACACACTCTCTCTCTCACACACACACACACACTCAGACACACACGCATGCACACACAGTCACACACACACACACACACACACACACACACACACACACACACACACACACACACACACACACACACACATCATACACACAAGCGCTGTAATATGAAGACAGATACATGTAAAGTATAAGCACACGGCCAGTACTAGGAGAAGCCGTGTGATGGACAGAATTCTATTCAAGTCAGGCTAGTAGTCCAACTGTACATATATTGCTGCAGTCCTTTTCAACACCAAGAGATCAGGCGTATGTGCAGATTTTACATCTTGAACATCAGGCGTGTATCTATGCTCCACAGCGGCCCATGCTATAACACAGTCTGTAAGACAGGGAAGTACTGCAGTATGTTTGTATTCAGATTGAAAGCACTTCGAAGCATCACACATTTTAACTCACACAGAGTCAAGTTGCTTGCCGAGCCCTTTGGATGATCAGGCGTGATGTGTGAAGAGGTAGCCGACTCTGTTGGTGGCAAAGCGGATACCGATGCCACTACACCTTGGTATGTGATGGCAGTCAGCGTTGAAGATGGCAGAGCAGTGACGAGATCATCTCTAGTCAAAGAGTAACTCCCCACGTGGTCCTCTAAACCACAAACCTCGGATCGGAACTGTCCCAGAATGTCAAACGGCCAAGCATACAGCAAAGCAAACATGCGCCATAGAAGAATTCATTCCGGAATAGGCAGAGTGCAGCGAAACCAGTCTTTTCACAGAATGGGCTAGGATTCGGCACCAAGCCGGGATTTCTCTCAAGGCCAACTTGTGCATGTCAAAAGAGATCTGGTATTCGCAAGAGCACAAGTTGGGCAGCCGAGCAAACCAACAACTCCGGCCCTGTTGCTGCTCACACTGGCAGAAAGCAGCCCAGTCTTAATAGTTACTATGACAACCCAGTCCTATTAGTTACTAGCTGGAAAGCTACCGTCATGACGTCATCTTTCATACAAACATCAGTATTCCGGATGGCAAACACTCAGAAAAAATAATAATATGCCTATGCGCAGAGGCTAGATTTTCGTGCAATGCTCATCCTACTTACCAGTATGCCATTAAGTTCTAACAAGGTTCCCAATATGCACATGCACTTGTATCAGTTTGAAAACGAAATTTGTTGGTGGCAACCATACACATCATTCCACAAGACTTATGTTGCGAAATTGTACTACGAGTATGATTTACGCATGTTGTTGTATTTGGTTCTTGTCTTGTAGAGTCCAGTGTCTGATGTCATATATGGTCTAAATGTACGTGCTAGTATGGTGTGATGTGTGACGTTTATGGTATGTGGTGCATGCAAGAGTACACGTTGTCAGAGTGTGAGGATCTGCTTCCGTCTGTATGAGAGTGACTGTCAAGTGAATGCTGTACATGCGCAGTGCTAGTTTGGTCTGGGAATGAGAGTCATGTGTGATTCATCCGTGGTCTGGTTGTCTTGGTCTTGGTCATGTGTTCTGTACATATTAGTCCCTGACTGGTCGTCCCGATTTGTCGTCGCTTTATTACTGCTTGTTCTTTGTTGTTTTCTTCGTGTCTTTTCCGGGTGTCTTTTCCCGTCGTCATTTTCAGTCTAGTCTTTTGTCTTTCTCCTCCTGCGCCCTCGTCATTTGTTGCTATAATATAAGAATTGAGACACAACCAAGAGTTTGCGTTGCTGTGTGACGGGGCCAGGGGGAGAACTATTTCCATTTCACTTACAGATACGCTGGCACATTCAAAGTCTTCATCACCAATATCCGGGATTGTGTAAGTCGTGGCTTCCCCCTGTGACAACAGTATCAGTGGTGGCAAAAAATGAGTTTTAGAATTTCACTGCCCGATGCAAACGTGGAAAAGTCTTCCGATTGTCACGGTTTCAATTTGCCGCCAGTTTAGCCTTTTACAGTAAAGGCATAACTTGATCCCAGATTCCCAACGGACTCATGGGCGCCTGGGGCTGCGGATACCAGCACTAAGCATTGGTGGTGGATCTTCAATCAAACGTGTACCAATTGTGATTTTTTTCAAGGTGGGTTTACGCCATTGAGCTCAAAGCAGCAAAGAGCTACCATTTGGTCTTTTGACATGAGGGTATGGTATTCCCCACACATCCTCCCATAAAACAACCCCCGGGGAGTGCTGTTATTGTGAAGGGGTTTAATGCTCATGTCAAGATAGATCTTACCCTGTCTAACAAACATGGGCAAAGAAAAAATTGATCAGGAACTCTCCTACAGTGAAAAGAACAAATTCCGCCGTCATCACTGAACAACAAAGAAACAAATTCCGCTGTCACTACCGCAGAACAAAGAAAGCTTTGTCGAAAGCTTTGTTTTGCAGTGACGACGGCAGAATTCTTCCTTTTCATTGCAATGATTATGATTCAAGGTGTTGTTCCAATCTAAAAGCAAGCGGCACGACATTGTCAAGAATTCCAAAAATGGGACTTTCGCCAGCATTACAGCTTGGCATACTACACACACGCACGCACGCACGCGCACACACACACACACACAGCTGGGGAAAATTCTTTCCATCACAGTTGCTAGATGCGTTGGTGGCAGCAGCAATCGGTGTGCTCGATTGAAAGCAAGCCATCAATAAATAAACACAATACAATAGCACTATGAGACTACTAACCATGATGCCCTTGTCACTAGTTTCCATGGATCTGGAACAGTTCGTACACCGTCCACCAGCATTCAGGTATCCAAAAGTTGCTTTCAGTCTAAAGCTGGAGTTACCCCCGAGCTGTGGGGCCCAAGAAAGCGCAAACGTGGCACTTCTGTTGGAAATCTGCATTCCGGTTACCGTCACGTAGTGTGGTACTGCGGCAGATGAAACACAGCAGAGGAAAGTCACTTGAGTTTAACACCTCTGTGATCCGTGCATTACAAAGATGCCAGTTGAGTATGCTCGTCTGGGCATGTTGAAAGAACTTAGCTATTGTTGCATCCGATGGTTACCACGGGTGTTCTGACAAGAAGGGTGATAGAGGAGAACTTTTAGGTCAGCGGCGTAGCTCGGGCAATATTTGTACGGATACTGGATATCTTTTGGCCAACCAAGTCTAAATGTATTCGAGGTCCTTCAGGGATACAGATAACACAATCATGTTATTCCACTCTGGCAGTTGCAATGTACAATACAGAAGCGTGTTCTTGATAGCAAAAATAAGTACACTGTTTCAATTTAATTTTATATAAATACAGCCTCTGTGCTACGCTTATGAGTCCACAATAGACGAAACAGTTCCGCCCGCACATTGAGTAAATTACAGGTTATGTATGCAGCATTAGTAACAAATAAGTGATACTGGTTCAGAGTGGTGTGAGCCGTGGTGTTCACACAATATTTGGGAGAATGATGCTCCGTGGTTTAGTTGCTGGCGACTAGAAAACAGCTGACCAAGTTGATGGCCAAACTTGTTGCTCTGCTGTCCAAACTATGTGTATGTGAAACAAAACCCATCACTCCCACACTTGGAAACGGTCAGCCAGGCGTAGGTTTCCAGCCAGTAGCAACTGAACCTTATGTAGATCTACTGGCCATGTACTTTCATCGCCAAGAAACCATACCGTATGCATGGACTGGTAAACCTCCTAGGTTGTCGGAAATGGTGCTGCAGTAGCTCAAACGTCTCCCTTGACCTTAGCGGAAACTGTCAACTTCAACCACGAGCCCTGTGCACTAGCCGCTGTCCTTGCACTTCTCCCTGTTTCCGGATCATCAAACGTTCACAAAACGCCGGCATCGTGAACCAGTTGCTGAAGAAGAGTACCGGTTTCAGGTCACTGCAGGTTCCGGAGAATCACCTGAAGCGAATTCGCCGCCAGAGTCGACAGAATCGGCCAACCGGGACAGCATCAGCGCTCGAAGAGTTTTCTGAACAATCGCTATCATGATGTTTGGAAGATGTCACTGAAAACGAATCTCCAATTTTCGTTACGTGGAAGTGCTTCAGTCACACATGTACCTGCCACATTGACATAACTTGGAAATTGGTGGCGAAGAATGAAAAGAAAATGGAAACAAACTGGAAGCTTTCGAAACAAAAAGACTGTGACTTTCCGACTTCGATTTCGACTTCGGTTTTGCTAGTGCAAAAAGTGGGTGTGCATCCGCACTGCACCGGTGCTGTGCATGTAGCGCTGTTGCAGTGTGGTTCACACAGCGAATGCGAACAGCGGTTCAAAGAAGTACAGGCCTATACTCGAGCCTCACAAATGTACATAGACTAGATGTCCTACATGTAGATCCTGCGAACTCTTCTTCAATCAACAATAGACTCCAGACGTGAAGTCAGTGCCTGTAGACCCTTGTGCATGAACTGGTGCAGTGCATGTCGACATGTTCTGGCCAACCACGTATGGATACCTGGCTGCCCAGTATCCACTCTGGCTACGCGCCTGTAGGTAAAATGTAAACCTCACTCCCAGTTGCTGGTCGTGATACTGGAGGCTGCCATTGTTTAAGTGCCCATGATGATCCCACATCCCGCTCAAGATTCAAATGTGAAGCACACGGAATTGAAAATATCTCATGAAACGTGCACACTGATAGCCTCCCTTGGCCCGGGGCCAACACAATTCGATTCAGCGCCTAGAAGGCAAGAGGTTTTTTCCTTACATTAAATTTGTGAAAAGCAGTGATTGAGTGTGAGCCAGTGTTGTTCACAAGCCACTTTAGAAAGCAAGAGGTTTGGAAAAAATTGATATTGTCCCGCAGCTCCCCTTCAACCAGTGGTTACAAGTGGTATACTTACAACAAGCAGGGGATAAGCACACTGGGACTATCTTGTCTGCAGAGATATCAACACAATGTCCCAAAACAAACAATGGTTGCACGATTTTTTTACCAGCAGCAGCACGCATCGTTCAATATTTACAATACAAGGATGGCTAGTAAACCGGTATTAATGTGCCTAGGAACCCCCCCCCCCCCCGCGTATGCCAGACCTGTAGGAACACGGTCTCCTTGTCTCATTCAAAGTACAAGTAAGAAGAAAATACATGAATACTCAATCTGCGGACAGAACTGTTTCGTCCTTTGTGGACTCGTCAGCGCATGAAAATACATGAATAGTATTGTTATCAGAAGGAGCTTACCATGCTGATCCACGTCCTCTTCATTTTGTAGATCTAGACACAGACGGAAGAAAGTTTTACACTTAATAGAAATTTATTATGCAAAGAACATCACCAGTGGTGACAATATGGACCCACCTAAAGTCTCTCTCTCTCTCTCTCTCTCTCTCTCTCTCTCTCTCTCTCTCTCTCCCCCCCCCCCCACTCTCTTTCTCTCTCTCTCTCTCTCTCTCTCTCTCTCTCTCTCTCTCTCTCTCTCTCTCTCTCTCTCTCTCTCTCTCTCTCCCCCCACACACACACTCTCTCTCTCTCTCTCTCTCTCTCTCTCTCTCTCTCTCTCTCTCTCTCTCTCTCCCTCTCTCTCTCTCTTTCTCTCTCTCTCTCCTTCGACACCCCCTGGCACCCGGAGCCCCTCCTCACTATGTACTTGTGCAGTGAATACTGTGCAAAGAGAAAACAACCAATTGCTAGTGCAGCTCACAAAGGCGGAGCAAGTGGAAATGGGCATGATTTCCTAGGCTTGGCCATTCTCTCAAACTGACAGAGATATCAAATAACTCTCCTGAGTACTGTTTTGCTATCTACATGTACGTCTTGGTATCGAATCCAGTGTGACACCATTGTTGGATGTCTCAGTTTTTTAGCTCTTCTCTGGGACAACGAGAGAGTAATTTTCGGAACGAGCCAGACGTCTAAAGAGCTCTGGAGGTTCTTTTTACAATTCACCACGGCAATCCGATTTGAGAGCAAATTTATTTCCTCTGGTTTTGGAAAAGAAGGACCCAAAATTCTCTTTTTGGCCAGTCAGAGAATGTGGAAATCTTCCCGTGACTTTCTTCCATGTCCAAAAGCTGGAAGAGCCAGCAGAGCTGGGCAGACTCTACTGATTTCTGCAGAGGGTAAAATGATATTCTTCACATTTTTGGAGATTGTCCACTTGCGAAGATTGTAAAGGAATGCAACTTAGGAGCTTCACCACGGCCCACTCCATTCCTGATTGTTTTCAAGAGTTGAAGTGGTTATAGTATCTGCTTTTTTATCAAGTAAATTTCATCACCGCTCTCTATTGGCCGACGCACACCATCCGCAAACATCACAGAAGCCGTAGGGGGATCGAACGGCCGACAAAGTTGACACAACAACGCCACTGTACATGTATGTGCATGCCCCTACCTGTTTGACAATCAAAATTGTCGTCCGCGAGGCTGACTCGAGGGCAATTTAGTGTCTCACAGTCTGAACAACACACAAGGAAAACAAGCGGAATGTGTTGCAACAGCAGACAGGGTGCTTCTCAAAAGTGCATCCGTTCTGAACTAACCCAAACAGCACCAGTCATGGAGATGTACGTCCACTGTGTGTCATAAACAAACCCAGAGGACTCGTCACAAATGTACAGTGAAGTACTGTAAACCTCCCAATATTCGCGTCACTAATATATTTCTCAGAACCAGTGAGTTTACGATGGCCAATTTCCGCCTAACACTGTGACCACACACATACACCCACTATTGAAGTTAGAATTCACGATGGATAATATTCGCGTTATGCTCTTCTCGCAAACATTAGGCAGTTTATTACATGATGGCCAGTGAGAATGGACCTACTTGGCATTATTAGGTCTGCTCTTGCGTGCTGAAGACTGTAATTCTCTATTGGCAGCGTGACCACCTGAACAGTAGGAAAGAGACCGTCTGATGATTAGTTCATATAAAAATAATATAGAAGTGACTATAACAGAAGCTACCAACTCACAGACGGGGTCATTCTTCAGTAGTACAATCCACTTTGCGTATAACGACACTCGGCGGGGCATCAGAAAAAATGTCCTTATTCGCGAAGTGTCCTTATACCCGAAGTATCTTTATAATTATGCTTTCAGTTAGAAGGAACTTTGCTCTGGACATGGACACTCTGTTGCTATTCGCGGATTGTCGTTATATCCGCAGTCGTTATTAGCAAAGTTGACTGCACATGTCCAGTCCATCTATGAGTACCGGTATCATGACACTCAGTGACAGTGACAAATCCTGACAAACCTATGAGACTGCCCGATGATACCATGCCATGTGGTCCAGAACTCTTCGACCACTGATAGTGTACATTGAATAGAACTGGGCGTGCATGAAAGATATTGTTCAAGTAAAGCCAGGTGGCTACGAAACCGGCCATATCATGCCCCATGTTTCTATACACAATGGAACGGGCATTGAAAGACTGCCGCCCGCCTGCACAGACCAGCAAGCTGCGCATCAGCCACACAGGGGTTGTTGCTAAACACAAGCTCTACTGGGTTATACAACACAGTGTGTGTGTGTGTGGGGGGGGGGGGGGGGTAGTAGCTGCTGCTCAATGTCCTCTCTTACCCTTAGAACGATATGGCTGGTCTCTTTGTCAGGTACAAAACAATCTCTTCTGCTCTTCAAATACCCAGGAGTGATTTTGATCCCGGCCTCACTGATACTGCCTTTGTCCGTTGTAAAAACCACTCGATTTTCACCTTTGGGTAGACCACTTTCTCGCATGGATCTCTGCAGGGAAATAGTATTGAAATACAAAAAGAACTTGCAATTGCTTAGCCTGTTACGCCAACAGTGGGCACCCAGGGTAGAACCTGCTCGTTATATAGTATTACCTGGTACAGATTTCCTGTCTTTCATCATTCCGAAAAAAGGATACGACTTGGAAGTAGTTGCCAGATCCACTCAATCAGCATAGAAGTTACATCCTCCGAGCTTATGTTTTCTTGTTTACCAAGTAGCAGGGCCGCCGGAGCCGCTCCGGCCATGGCGGACCAACTTTTCGACCACCGACGATTTTTTAACGGCGCAGTAACGTTACGTTATGACTGTTGTGATCATCGATTAATTGCATGTACGCGTACTTGCGATCTCGCTCTGATCTTGCCGTGCACGTGTGCGCGCTTGAGGGCTAGCTGTGGCCTGTGTGTGGGCGGCGCCTGTACTGTGGCGCGACCTGAAAGCACGTGCCATGATGGATTCTACATTGTAATTAATTAATTTTGTAGTCTTGAGGGTTTTTCGTTGAGTGCTTCAGATTCTTTTACTGAACGAAGTAGTTTTTCAAATTTTTCTCGCTGTTTGGTCAGCTTAGCTGCAGTGCATGCTTAGCAGTGTTGTGAAATGATGTGTTGTTTTCCTGTGTGATGGCATTCCCCACACTGTCTCGTGTAGTCGCGTGCATGTGTGATATGAGCATGCGCGATTTTGTAGTGGAGAGTCCTTTTGTCAGTCTTCTTGTTCGTCCCTTTGAGTGTTGTCTCCATTTTCGTTATGTCAATAATAATTATGTAAACCAAACAAGTCTTGTCCTTTGTGTCCTGCGTCCCGGGGAACGGAATGGCTGAGATTCCGAGACGTTGATCAAAGCAAAGAGACGTTGTGTTGTGTCACACGTGCGCAAGTGCTGTGCTGGCGAAAAAACTTGGCCGGACCAATCAACAATTGCTTCCGCCGGGCCTGAGTAGTATCATGTGCAAGTAGAATGAATTTGCTGCAAATTATTGGGAAGTTCTATGGCATATCCTGTTCCAGAAATACTCATCAAATCAAATGTTCTGTGGCAGCTGTGTCAGCAGATCATGTATTTGATATAGGTGTTTGGTACATACGCTTACAAGTGAAATGTCATTGCCATAGTTCCATCCCTGGTGCAATTGGGTGATTCTATAGCCCGCCAGGTGCTCGGCATCTGCAAGCCAAACATTGTCAAACAACACAAGAAGCAGTTTAATAGTGCTGAAGAGATTAGTCATCAGCAGGTACAGCTATGTCGATGATGGGGCCACCAAGATAAAACTCATTTACTATCATACACCTGAGCAGCTACAGCGGCTTTAGTCTGAACCGTGAACATACTTCGAAGTACTTGCGAGGCTGAGCCGTGTGTCGTGTGCTCATTGAAACGTAACTTGATTAACCCCACGTCACAAAAAAAACCCATGACGTATGTCCACTTTCCTACGTAGCAAAGATCCAGAATCATGCTGGTGACGAGGCCAAGTTCCGTTGAGCAACTGGTTAGCAATTTCCAACTGTAAGTGATGCAAAATAACAGTTTAAGATAACTTCACACACACAGAGCCTGGGTACAGTCAAACGTGGCAACATAACTTAGCACCTTACTTGGAGGGTCGTTCCACTGGACGTGGAAGGCAAAGCCCCCGCCGAATGCAATGGGCAGCGACACTGTGAGTTGCTGCGGCTTGCCAGGTGCATCTGTGCAGTTGTCTATCATGCTAGTTGTGTAGATGTGCCGGGTACGATGAAGCTTTTCACCCTTACTGCAGTTCGAATGCGGCGGGTCCCAAACATTTGCGAGCTTGCCATATTTCTTGCCACACCTCCTCAGCTGACCTACACAGCGGATAGAGAGCAGAGCCAATGACATCATATTCATTGAGATACAGCAAACAGTAAACAGGGTACCGGACACCAGTCCAATATGCGGTAACTGAGGCAGTTTCTCTTGCTGTTCCGACCAAAAGAAGGTGGAGACGGACAGAAACACACACACGCACACTCATGTGCAGATACGCGCACACAGATGTGTGCGTGCATGCATACATACACACATAAACACAAACACACCCACCCACATGCATGCAACCCCCCCCCCACACACCTACATATGCAAATGCACACACACACACACACACACACACACACACACACACACACACACACACACGCGCACACACACACGTGCGCGCGCACACACACACACACATACACCCACCCCCCCCCCACACACACTGGGTATTGACGGCACACCTCATGCTCTAACGGCTACATAATCATCATGGTATGGTATATCAAATGGAACTTTGCGGCCTGAGAAAAGGTTGACTTCAGAAATTGGGATAAGAATGCAGATCTAATTATCTCATCAAAACACAAAAAGTTGAAACCCATCACTCAAGCCATCATTAAATAACAAAAAAACATAGAGGGGAATTTCCCTGGTGGAAACCAACAGGTACAGCTGATCCCTTCAGGAGAAAGTGCTACACATTATCTTCATGACCTGCACACCGGGTAGAGTCAGTTTCATGATGCCCTTCACTCACACGTGTTTGTGTAGTCTTCCCTCGGCCAAACCGAACAGACGCTATCCTGTGCCTGCACATGTTCAAGTGTCAGCACCGCAGCATAGCACAAGGCTAGGCTACTCGTGAAAAGAATACGCCTGACTGTCGTAGCCTGCCTAGTGCTGCAGACAAATCATGGTAGGATATTCAAGAACGGAAGAAGACAAACAATAAGAATGGGAGTCGAGGAAAGTAACTTCAGGATGCAATTGCAAGTTATTTTTATTTATTTATTTTTGCACCTCGTAGCATGTCAAGACAGCCAATTGAATTGAGGAGAGGGTTAGACCAACCACGGAAGAAGAGAAAAAAAGAAAAGAAAAGCACGTACACAAAAGGGGTAGGGATTAGCAAGTTACAAAGCAATGGGATGCCCAGCGAGCTATGCAGCGGAAGTGGTGGCTGTGATTTTGTCTACTGGAAGATACTGAAGTGCTGTCTGACGAGGTTATGGAACACAAATCCCAGAATCTCTTTGCACTAATCATATCCCCAATTCATTTCGCCAGGAATTCAACATATGCATGCATCTTGGCCACCCTGTATGAAAACCTTAGGTTCGGTTTGGAATGCCCAAGCAACATAATAAATACAACACACACACACACACACACACACACACACACACACACACACACACACACACACACACACACACACACACACACGCATACCCCCTCCCCCCACACACACATACATACACAAACACACATACACACACGAACACACACATACACACACATGCACACACACACACACACATACATACATACACACCCACATACACACACGAACACACACACATACACAAACACACACACACACACACACACACACACACACACACACACACACACACCACACACACATACACACACTCATACACATCAGGTTACATTTCACCATGAAGATTCCACATTTCCAAATTTCTTTGACAGCTACTGTGTACATTTGTGTGCTTGTGTGTGTGTGTGTGTGTGTGTGTGTGTGTGTGTGTGTGTGTGTGTGTGTGTGTGTGTGTGTGTGTGTGTGTATGCAGGTTTGCTAAAGTACGAGGTCCTCCGTAAAAAAAGGTATTGTTTCTGGAGAGGGTGAGGAGTGCAGTGCATTTTCGCTTCGTCAGGGAGTCGAGCAATAGCGCTGTACTCTAAAGCAATAGCGCTGTACTCTAAAGCAATAGCGCTGTACTCTAGGAATATATCAACACGACAACGGTCAGAAGATATGCACGCTCGTTATGGGGAGAGGTATAAATGGAGAAAGTTGCAAAACTTCCTTTTCACAAATGTCCGCGGTCCCAAATTTGCTTCATCGCATGCAATTGAACACGAGTGGGCATGCGAAGACAGTGCTTGCCCATGGGCATTACTCCATTAGCAACGCGACTGCCATCTGGGAGCGCAGCAGGCACAATCTAGCAGGCACAATCTATTTGCTGAAGTCGCATGACATAGAATCTAAAAAAATAGAAATATAAATAATGTAACAAGGACGGGTGTGGGTGTGGTATGTGTTTCTGCAGCGCAGAGAACACCCTTTGCCCTAGCCCTAGGCTTTGGCCGTTACAAGCATCTGTTCATCCAAGTGCGTTACCAAATCTAGGCTGCACACAACACCTCCGCTGATGAGGCCCTCCCCTGGCTCACCTTCCAGTGCGATCGAAATTATCACTGTGGCACTTCATCCACAACCGGTGATTTCGCGTCGCAAGCTGGCGCATTTCTTCCTGGCCCAGCCCGGACAGGATTATCATGAGTTGCGGCGTTCGGCCGCCAAAGAGCCATGTAGATAGCTTCCGCTGGCCTCTCTATTCATTTCATTCTCTTCATTTTCCTTCCGGACAAAACTACAGGAATCTGCAATATCGAGTACTACTAGTATTGTTTCTTGCGCTGTAGACCTGTAGTTCGCTAATCTGATTCTCGTTGACAAGGTCGAGCACACCATAATGCTAGTACAGACTCAGTAGATCTACGCTACCTTTCTAGAAACCGAGCGTTACGCAGCACAATCATGTTGACACTGACAGTCATTAGCTGCCTGTACTGAGCCAGACTTCATTCTACAAAATACTTCAGTTGAAGTACAATGACTTATGTACTTCCATTCCACCACCAGTTGTGACAGTTGTAGAGTGACCATGGTGACAGTCAGTAGATAGTCTACACTGCATGCAGTGCACACGCCCTTGGTTGAAGTTGAACTACCGTAGATCTACGCGTAGTTGAAGAACAAGACAAAGAGACCATGAATGCACGATGACGTAACTCGTATCGGCGAATAGCCTAGTGTAGGGCAAAGCCTATAGGCTATACACCAGTATCTTCTTTACTTATAAAAGAGAGGCACCTGTGACGTGTGTCTGTGTGTGTGTCACGCTCCTTATAAAGAAGAGCCACCTGTGACGTGTGTTTTTGTGTCACGCTGAAGCGCTGCGGAGCAGCGCTGCCCTGAGCACGCGAAGCGTGCGAACAGTGTAGCACGTGCACAGTACTGGTAGCGCTTATAGTTATACTTATACAGCCACCTAGCCTAGGCGCGCCATAGCATAGGTACTAGGTAGCACTACTACTAGCAGCCGCACAAGCGCTGCGGACCACGTGAACCGTTCTCTGCAAATAGAAACATCTGCAACAAAAGGATACAAAAGATCTGCACTGACTGCTCTCTGCATCTGATCTGCGCGCATGCGGCGGCGCGGTGAAGAGCGCATCGCACTTTTGTTCGTAAGTTTATGAATTTTTTGAGCCGCTTCATCCGCCACCAGGTGATGGACAACCCTGACCAGCCTCCCGAAGGCGTAACAGACGTCCCTCCTTCTCCTTCCAACGATGAAGAACCTCCCTCACCAGGACTTCAGCGGTCTGGCCACCACCACGTGCTGAGCACGTGTGCTGTTCATGTACTTGCTTCACCCGCATGCCACATTCGGCCAGGCAACGCTGGCGGGGGTGCTGCTAGTCTGTTATACAGTACTAGCCTAAGCTCACAGTCACAGTTAGTAAGGTGTGCATGTGCCTAGCGCCTGTCCATCTCCACCCCACGTGACCCCAGTCACCTGTACACGGCCACCACTACATGTCCATTCATTGGAAACTGGCACCCTAACTTTTTGGTGTCTCTCTCACATGATAGTTGTAGATATCGTGAAAACAACAGTACATCCTGCATTGTGTGACCCGTGCCACATTTGAGGCCAGAAAAGTCCAAGAACAGGGAAATAGAAATTCAGCCAGGTTTTACAAAATTAAGACAGGTATGCCATGGCAAAATGTATGGAGAAGCAGATCCAAAGCCCAGATTTTTGAGATTTAAAGTGGGTTTTTGATCATCAATTCGGCCCAAATCCGACTTTCAAAAGCCAGCGGGCCATTTAATAGATGATAATGCCAAGTAACGTGCAACTAGACTTGAGAGGGCATCGCACACAAGTTGCATACAAATTGTACTTTTATTAAAGGGGAAGTTAAGGCAAAAATTAAAATTTCACCAGTTGTAGTCTTCGGGGTGCTGAGTCGAATGGTCTTGGTCCGAGGAAGCTGAGACACTCCCTTCCTACTTGAATCCCAATCGAACTCGCGCACTTCCACCGAAACTGGGTGACTGCGCCCTACTAGATGGGGATTTGTATGCAAAATGTCACTAAAAGCGCCATTTCGTTCTTATAAAAGCACGGATGACCGCGATTGGCCCATATGTTGTAGTCTTTTGGACGCTGAGTCGACTGGTTTTGGTCCGAAAAGGCTGCGATGCAGCGTTCCTCCTTTATTCCCAATCGAACATGGTTGAACAAGCGGTCACGTGGTCCTGGGTGCCCAAATCACCTGGTCACCACGCCAGCAGGTGACAACTTTCACACCAAGGTTCAACTCGAGTGACAGGACTGCACCCAAAAAAGGTCAAACAGGCTAGTAAGTTGTACCCTGCAGGCACGGTGACCAGGTGACTGGTGTACGCAGGAGCACGTGACCGCTTCTTCAACCATGTTCGATTGGGAATAAAGGAGGAACGCCGCATCGCAGCCTTTTCGGACCAAAACCAGTCGACTCAGCGTCCAAAAGACTACAACATATGGGCCAATCGCGGTCATCTGTCCTTTTATAAGAACGAAATGGCGCTTTTAGTGACATTTTGCATACAAATCCCCATCTAGTAGGGCGCAGTCACCCAGTTTCGGTGGAAGTGCGCGAGTTCGATTGGGATTCAAGTAGGAAGGGAGCGTCTCAGCTTCCTCGGACCAAGACCATTCGACTCAGCACCCCGAAGACTACAACTGGTGAAATTTTAATTTTTGCCTTAACTTCCCCTTTAATGTGTACACGGCAGGCCCTGAGCTCTGCAGGAGGACAAGTCACAGGTAACCGTACAACTTTGAACTTTGTATGCAACTTCCCTGCAATGCCCTCTCAAGTCTAGACTTCTCATCAGGGAGTCGTCAAATATTTGACGACTCCCTGCTTCTCATATATATTGGCAGTCTTCTGACGAGCCAGGAGATGTTGAATTAATAATAATAATAATAATAATAATTTGAAACTCGGGTATTGAGCCAATAATAAAGTAAAAAAACAAACTTCCAGAACACATCCGCTGCGTTCAGTCCTCTGTCAATTTTCGCATTGCTCTAAAGGCTCATTACTCACAGCATAGATATTCTCTGACTGGAATTCCGAACTTTTCCGTTTGAGAATTTTTTTCCTTGAAATTAATCAATTAATCCTTGCTGGTTTTTTCATCTAAATGTCCCGCTATTAACTGCAGAGGTGATTTCTTCCCTCGTCGATTTCTTTCCTGATTTTATACCTCGATATTTAGGTACTTGTTTCCCTTCTTCCCATGCTTCATCTTCCACTCTCCTCTCCCCCATTTCCCAATTTTTCTTGCGATATTTATGTGGGAGACTTCTGTGATAAGCATCCATTTGCTTTTGGAGAATCCTTTTAAATAAATACAATACAATGTAAAGTAGAAAGGAAAAGGACATAATGGAAACGAGTTAAGAGTAACTCTCCACCACTGTAACTAGATACTATATACAGTCAGAAAGTGCAACAACTAGAAGACTAGAAGCTAGGTGTCAGGACGTCGAATGTCTCAGTACTCTGTCAGTTTTGTGCCTAGTTGTTGCACTTTCTGACTGTATATAGTATCTAGTTACAGTGGTGGAGAGTTACTCTTAACTCGTTTCCATACATGTACATGTATGTCCTTTTCCTTTCTACAATAATAATAATAGTTGCACGTTATTTGGCATAATTATCATCTATTAATTTACACAAGCATTAGTGTAGTGTAGTATGCTACCTGGTAACATGTCACATGAACACCTGAAATCCGATCATGCGATGCAACTCAAGCCAAGGCTAGGCTAGGCTATGGCTATGGCGCTGCGGCTGCGCAGCGTAGACCTACATCTATTACTATTAGATCTACATGTACATGTACACTGTACCTGCGAACACCGATTTTCACTCGTACAGCATGGTGGAAGACAAAAGTGGCTTCTTCAGTAGATCTACGCCTCCATTCGTAAACTCCACCATGGTAGATCTACCACTTATCAGTGAGCCCCAACGAAGATGGACTCTTGACCTGATAAGGAAGACGTCCTCTCATATCATAAAACGCCTACACAAACTCTCCACAAACCGTCCTGACGGTGCTAAGCCGCGTAAGCGCTGCGGGGCATGCCCACTCAGCCACTCGTCAGCGGTACGGAAGAACAGCAGGGCTAGAGTCAGAGTTTAGTGTTGTCCATTTCGAGTAAAGACTTTTTTTAAGTCACCTGCAGTGGTACATGGTACGTGGTCCTGTCGTCGCCTGTCGTGTGACTGTCACCATGGTCACGTACTGGAAACCGTCCCATGCACAAAGTAACAGCTGTTGCGAAGATGACATAAAAAACGTTTCAAGCGTTGTGCACGTGTGGAGCATCCCATGCCATGACAACTGACTGTGTCACAGTGTGTGTCCTAGGACGTCGACTACAGTACAGACTACAAATCATGTACAATGTACTGTAAAAGCCATAATACATGATAACGAAGTGCTAACTCTAATAACGAGTTAAGTTAACGAGGAAAAATCTGTCGTTAAAATAGAAATCGTTATACAGAAATTGATACATATACATGTACATGTACTGTCCTATTGAGCGTTGAGAATAAGATTAGTGAGAATCGTTACCTTTGGTACACGTAAACCAGTCGATTTTGGTAAATCGTTATAATACATGTATGCGCCTCATTAGAATAATGACTTTTACAGTAGTAGTAGCCGCAAGCGCAACTGAGCCGGAGGCCCAGTGGACACCTACAAAGGCTACATGACTACAGACAGTGTACTGTCCATACTCCCCCCCATAGCGTTCTAATAAACCCTCTGAAAAAGGAGCAATCACAGGCGTAATTTATTGACGTCTTTAAATTTCGAAACAAAGTGTCAGCACCAACGCATCCATACAGTCAAGTAAAGTCAATGCAGTCGAACGTTTTCGACTTTTCGTTCCCTTCTCATCATGCCTCATGCCCAGTCATGCCTCATGCCCAGTCATGGGTAAGTACAGGGAACGGTTAGCTCTATAAGTAACTTGCTGTATTTTGACACTTTTTCAATTATTCCCTGTACTTACCCATGTCATGGGCCATGATAAGAAGGAAACGAAAACGTTCGGTTACTAAATTGGCTTTACTTGATTGTGTGGATTGCGTCGGTGCGGACACTTTTTTCTAAATTGGATACGCCTCCAATTTTTTATACATGTACTGTATTGATTAACTTAATTAAAATAATAATTTAAAATCATACAGTAGTGAGTAGTCCCGATCCAGGAGTACTCGAACTGACCGCACTTGTTGCCAGCTAGCAACGACGTGCCTGTACTGTGCGTCCCACGGCCAGCTGCCAACTCGTTTTTCGTA